TGTTTGTGTGTGTTTGTGTGTGTGTAAGTAACACACACGGTCGTCTTGATGCTCCGTGCTTCCAGTCCCTGTCGGTCCCTGTCGTCCTGCCTGCAGCCTGGGGCTTGCTTTGTCCCGTCCAGCCCTGCCCTCCCGTCTCGGCTGTCTGCCGCTTCTCACTTTGCACTGCACCTTCTCCTTTTGAGCACTGCCATCAAGTCATGCTGCGATTGTGAACGTCGGGCCGGATAGGCTTGTGCCACTTTGCTGCCATCATACCCGACTCGCTGAGCCGCAGCTGCAACAAAGTGGCCCGCGATCGCCAAGAACATAAGCTTCTGACGGAAGTGTGGCAGTGTGACGATTGCATACCCCGGGCCGTAAGGGTCCAAGGACCTCTCAACACCGACGGGCGTCCACACATGTCCGTCACGCGAGGGAGTATGGAGGGCACATGACAGATAGCACCGGAACCCATCTAAACCATCAACTACCCGAAAGGCCCCTGCCCCACATGGTTTCTTAGAGCCCCACATCGTTTCTCAGAGTCTTTGCTCCACCGCGTCATGGCTGTGCAAGACGCAGTCTCCACTGAAGTAGCCGGAAAAATACTGTCATCTCTGCCCCAAGATGCCACAGCAAGGCGCTAGGGTAAAACGCAAACTGACCCACGCACAAACCTAACATGTTAACAATATACCGCGCTTAGCACCTTACTGCCATCGAGGAGCCTGCTTCAAAACAGACTTAACTTGACTTAACGTGTTTCGGTCCTGCACATGATTCAAGTCTTCCTTAACGACCATCTTGTCTTGTCTTCGTGGTGCTCAGCCGGTCAACACTATGCAATACAGTTCGGCCCCCTAGCAACTATCCATATCCGAATTCTCACGCACTAACCAGCAACCATGCAGATGTAATTACTCGCACATCGACATGCATCCAAACTCCAGCCAAATTCCGGTGTCTTGCAGATTCTTGCGCCCAAACTCCACAAATTCCTGATTCAACAAGCTCCGAATTTCCCATACAGATGTTGGCATAACCTCCATGCAACACTGTTCACAGCCAGTACAAGTCCGCGATGCAAAATGCAATCGCACGTTTGCCGACGATGTGACCAGATTCAGCACCGAATCGCCAACGTGCCCGAAGCCAGCACCGCAAAAGTCCAGTACTACAAAGGTCACATTGCTTGCCAAAAACCAGCATCACAAGCACATTCGCTCCCAGGCCGGCAGAGTCCACATCCCCGCCAGTCCTTGAATTCATACATTCATGAATGGAAGGGGAGGGTGACAAAACTCCGAAGATCAAGACCCCAGCCGCTCCACAGGGGAGGAGCGGGGATGATCACAGGCACAATGGAAAGAAGGCCTAAACCGAACCACCCAAGCATTCCAAGCGCAAGCTCAAGGCCCAAGCTGTTCCACAGGCGGGGGATACCATTGGCATCGGAAGTGGGGGGGCGCCAGGGTGCAATCACATATTGCCGTCCGCCTCGCCGGGTTTGGTCCTGCTAGGATCCTGTAGAGATTTACGGAAAATTCCTGAGGATACTCCGGGTTGAAGGTGTGGCCGCGGCTCCCGCTACAGCACAAGCAAAGACCTACTGCTGCGCCTTCAACGATGTCTGCTTCCCATCTCAAATCCAATCACCTTTGCATGCAATTCCCCGCCTGGCGTCGGATCTGGAATTTTAGTACATCCCCGCACTAGTACATCCCCGCCCTCTGTATACATTACTTGGGTGTTGGGGGGCATGTTGACTGTGAGGAACGTCTACGGTACCAACAGTCGTAAAAAAAACACTGAAAGCCAACAACTCGCAACCAACACATCCACATAACCAAGACACCCACCACTTGCCAGACTTCAGGAAAACCCACTCCATTCTAAGATGGGTCTTTTGGAGCTCTCGCGCTTTGTTGTTTGACTTGCGTGGTGACTTTGGCTTAACGACTTGTGACTGGTGACGCTGTTACTTGTGCGTGTGTGTGTGTGTGTCTCTTGTATGTTTGGCGAGTGTTGGGCTTACTGATTTGCTAGTGTTTCCTCCGCAGGAAGTCGCTTTGGTTTACGTGGTCTGGATCAACAGCAACCTCAAGCACACTGATGCACTTCGAGGGGGATGCTCATGCAAAACTGGCTTATGTGTCGTGGCCCCTCGAGCCACCAACGACCCCGTCAGTAAGTGGCCCACATCAGGCAGAGCCTCAAAGGTGATGCAGTGTTTCCGGCTGCGCAGAAGTGTTCTCTGCTTGTGCAAGACTGGGGCATCTGCTGCGGTACGATGGCAAAACACCACGCGGTGACAGCCAAGCAACTCAGATTTCCAGTGGCATGGAGGCACAGCACTAAATGACGAGATCCACTTGATCTGGGTTGCGGGCACATGCCCGCCCATGGACCGGTTCCTAGAAACTGCTTTGCGATCGCAGCCGCTTTCCGTTCAACAGTCTCACCCATATACACAGAAACAGGAGGGGGCAGTTGAGGTAGCTTGAACTTTTGCCGGAACAGTTTGGATAAGATCAATCCAAAAATTAAGCTTGGCCCTCCTCAGCATTGAGCAGGATGTAGCTGAGTCCTCGTGCCGTCACCCTGTCTTGAAGCATGTCCTGAAGCACATGGAAGCCTCCCCTAAGTTCGAAGAGCCAGATCCTGAGCAAAGGTCTTGTTTCCAATCTGCTGAGGGGTGGTTCAGCTACATTCTACACTGCTACATCTCAGCACGAGTTTCTAACTACCGGGCATAACTCACAAGCAAAAAGTCTGTGGCCTGAATAACCTCCCGGTGATTTGACAAGAAGCCCGATAGCTTCCATGAGTGCGACTCTTCTAAGCAGTTTGTTTCGATCCTCCGACACTGGGCCCCGTGCCACCCCAACATCGGTCTGAACATCGGGTATAGCAGCCTGTGCCATGCAACTCGAACTATTTGCTTAGCAGTTGGTGCGCAGGGCAGTTCCCAAACCGCCTGTCATGGTAGCACTCGACTCAACTTGTGCTTCCACGTCTCACACGACAACGCGCTACGTCATTGAGCCAAGTTGAGCCGATGCGCCACGAAGGGAGCATAGATACCAGAAACCACGACGGCATGTTCGGGCCTCGGCGCACGTGTTTTTGGGTCTTGCGCAGCGCAGGAAACCCATTGCACACGAAATTGGAACGGATAAGCTTGAGGGACTTATGACTTATGACGGTGAAATTGAAGTTCGGGGACTCATGGGAGCCTCGCCAGAGCCTGGCCCCGGTGTTTACAATATCTTTGCCGGCAAAATGTCAGGGTCAAAAGGCAGGTGCGAGAGCTTGTGCAAGGACCGTGCATTGACGCCGGCTTGGGCACATGCAGTTGGGCTCCGGGTCGATCCATGTCTTGATGAGGAGAAAACAGCTGCCAAGAACAATCTCTGTCCACGGCCACGGGCATGGTTCCATCTCAGAAGCTCCACCTCAATGTGTTGAAGGACCAAACCTCAAAGCCACCCAGCCTCGGTCGTTGCATGATCTCCCGGCGCTGCGGCGTACAGTGTCGGCGTACAGCTGAGGCAAGCGCCACAAGGTCACGGTGCAGAGCACCATCCCCAGGTAGCTGGCCTGTGGCTGCGACTGGGAGCGGAGCAGGGCATGCAGGGCATTGCGTAAGCTGGGCACCAGCAGGCAACGGAAGCAGCGGCGAACAAAGAACGCCGCCAGCGACCCAAAAGATGATTCTATGTCCTTCCAACAAAAGGAAACGCGATCTTCGGAAGGCCGAAATTTGAGGTGCCATTTGCATCCTTGCTGTGGTATGCGTAGTGCGTCATGAAACCAGAAAGTAGCACAAAAAACTCCACACACACCTTGGCTCAAAGCACCCGCAACTTTACGCGCATGGCTCAGCTCAGTTTGAGCTTGGACTCCGGCATCGACTCCTGGCTTCTATGGATGACGCGACCGACGCTGGAGTCACGTCAACAATCTGAGCATGCTACGTACCAGCATCTTGTCCAACAACGAAGGCTGTCTCGGCGCCATGTGGTGGAACCTGACAGGTTTCACAGCAGCCGTCTTGTCAGAGTGCTGAGGCCCTGAGCACGACACACGATCCACAAGGCGAACACCGTCCGCACTCCATCAAAATGGAGCCTTGTCTCACAGGTGTAATGGAAGTCTTAAACCCGCGATGGCACTCTGGCCATCCTTTTGACAAGAACGTCCCTGGGCCCCAGGAGAACTCAAGCGAATCGGCGAAGCTTGGCATGGGGCAGCCTTTCAGAAGCCTCAGTGGGCATGAACAGCAACAACTCGACACCGTGTCGCCAATCTACTGCTACTCTTCTGAATCAAAACCTCGGAGGCGTCGTCAGACTGTTCAACGGCTGTTCCGGCTGTCGCATCCTTATCTCCCGTCCTCCCTCTACCCACACCTCAGCTTACTCTGTCTGCGAACCCTAGCTGGCCACAAGAAGTAAGAACAATAGGCCGGGCCGAGCCGCATCGTTGGACCTGCCAGATGCATGGCGGCTAATGGGGACACGCTGGGACGATCGAAGGTGCAATGCCCTGCCTGTCATGCGCCAATGCTGGTGCATCAGCTGGACCACCTTCCTTGTCGGACTCATCCCGCATTGCCGAGCTCACTATTTATGCCTGTGTTGCAGAAGCAGACCGATGTGCTCAAGCACAACTGTTCGTTGCCATCAATGCAGAGCAGGCCGGTGTTGCAGTTCGCATCACCACATGTTGCCAATCTCTGCTGTTAGCTGCTCGTTGTTAGCCTTTTTATGTTTGCGTTCAGCTCCGTGCTTTCACACATATGTGATATATGCTTGAGCGGCAAATCGAGAGAGTCCACTTCAGCAACAAGCGCCGTCGTCCCGCTTCAGCACTGTGTTCGACTCTCACGCTCGGCAAGGATTCGCGATGACAAGTCCTGAACTCCTAGTAGACAAAGCTCAAACCTTCAGCCAAACACAACACAACGATTCTGCATGTCAGATGCTTTGTCCCAGAGGCGCAACTTTGTGAGGTATGTCGGGCTCACCAGCCGCAAACCTCATTCGGCATTGGCGTGTAATTGGAAAATGATCTGACAGGTCTTATGAGCCGAGCAGCATAGTAGTTCCTTGGTTTCCACGGTACACAGATCTGGGCTGAAGGAACATGCCGGCCTCTGCCCTACAGTCCTGTGCATGCCAGGCGCATACTCTAGGCATCGCAAACCAAACTACGCGCAGGTCATGGCAAGATCTAGCAGGCATCGGCAACCACAAGAAGAATGAAAAGCATGCTTCTTCTCCCAGGTGCTTGAAGAACTTCCCACGCAGCAGCCATGTCGGATCCAGAAGATGGCTGAAGACAGGATCAAGCACACGAGCAGCCCCGTCCTTCGGCAAAGATCGCTAGACGATTATCGCTTGGGAAGCCCGGTGAATGCTTAAGACTAGAGCAATTCGCGGTGCAAAACCTGTTGGGGGTTTTGCTTGCGGGGCCTCGAAAAAGTGATGTAAAATTTGTTTGGTGAATTGCTTGCGGACCACTGAAACGCTCGCCCGAGGGCTACAAAAAGTGGTGCAAAACCTTTTTGGGAAATCGATCCAATGCTCTCGGGAAGCTGTTAAAAGTGGTGCGGAACCTGTTTCGGAAGTGGTTGGTTGATCCCTTGATACCGTTGATACCTAGTACCCAGGTCGTTCTGCGTCGATGCACCCGTTGCAAAGTCCACTCTTCCCGCCTGTTGGTTGGGCAGCGACTACATCTGCGCTCAGCTCTGTGCGATACGGAATTTGCAAATCGACAGGACGGAACCCCAAGATTCCAAAGTAGGGTTTACACTAGTTAAGACTAGGACATTTGAAGGTGCAAATCCTGCTTCGGAACGAAACCTCTTTGGGAAACTGCTCGCAAACTGCTGAAACGCTGCTCCGAAGGCTGCAAAAAGTGGCGCGAAACCTGTTTGGGAAATTGCTCGCGGACGGTTGAGACGCCCGAAAGCCCCAAAGGCGCAAACGTGATTCGCAAATTTGCTTCGAAATCCTCGGTTCCGACCTGCGAAGTGGTTCCGAGCCGGTTCCGAAACGATTCCGAACCGGTTCCGAACCAGTTCCCAACCGCCTTTCCGGACCAGTTCCGAATCGGTCCCGAACCGGTCCCGAATCGGCCCCGAACCGGCCCGAACCGGTTCCGAGCCGGTTCCGAACCAGTTCCGAATCATCCGAACCCGTTCCGAGCCGGTTCCCAACCGGTTCCGAATCGGTTCCGAACGGCCCCTGAGCAGTTCCGAATCATTTCCGACTGGCTCCCGAACGGTTTGCCCAAGACAAGGCCTGTTAGCACTGTGAATGCTTGTGGGCTGCATCCCGAACAGATATCTCGTACTGTTACTTTCTCGGGACGCTCCTGCCTTAAGACCGTATATTTCGCAGGAACAGAGTGCCAGTGTGATGGCTGCGCAGTATGCGACACAAAGGCCGCAATCCTTCTGAGCAGCACTGGGTGTTTTGCCAGACTTCAACTTACGGCGTCCTATCCCAATGCTCAGATGCTCAATCTAAGAATCTAACCCCCAGCAGAGTTTCTCCATTCTGAAGCCGCAACTCCAGTACGGGCGAGCCTTGAAGGGTCTGTAGCCTTGCGTCCCCTGAAATGTCAGCTTTTTCGGGTAGATTGCGTTTAAAGCTGGTTTCGGGTGATGCCACCAGCATCCACCGACTGACCTCTTACTCGCCATAACTATGGCCGCTCCTGTGTCGATGACGGGCACATACGCCAAGACCGCGCCAATAGCACCAGTTCCGCTATCAAGACGATGACCCGACCGGTCTACACATGTTCTGCGACCGCGACAATTGGTGGCTCTCTTGCGAAATGTCGACACGGCCTAGCATGCTCTCCTCCTCATCCAGCGGTGGCCCAACCCAGGTCTCATGGCTGGCCGCGACGGCACCGACGCCGCCAGGCGCCATGTCCGTCACCCAGCCCGTGTCCACCTCGGCTGCACAGGGATGTTGCGTATATCCCAGCTGAAAATCTTCAGTGGGACAGGTATGCGGTCATAATGCAAAGCTCCGCCGATTCTACAGGCTCTCGGCTTGGCAGCTGGCACAATTCATCAATATCCGGCGTCGATACATGTCCTGCCAAGTGCCCAGCATCCGGCTACCAAAGCATACGACTTGCACTGTTCGTCAAGACAGGGGTCCTTGCAAGCAGTGTGTGTCATCATGTTCAGAGCAGCTTTCGCCATGTTCGTATGTGGATGCCCCGGACTTTTGTTCTTTACGGAGAATTTGCCCTCCAATGCACCTGCAATCCATCGGACAGGTGGTTGAATGGAGGCAGGCATGTCTGCGATGTAGCAAGCGCTGCACTCACGTTCACGATGTGCCCGTATGGTTCAGACTCATCTTTTGGAGCCAGCGCCTTGTACGAAAGCCCTTCGAAACACTCATTCTAACGATTTGCACTTCCGAGCGACTGGCTGCAGCAAGCTTGCTGCAAAGTATGAATGGGGCTGCGGTGTTCGCAGCTAGAGTCTGTAGAAGCTCAAGAGTTTCAACCTCAAGTCAAGGCCACAATAAACCCTCTCATGCACACGAAACCAGGTCTTAGAGGCACACCTCTTCCAGTCGTCTCGACCTGAGTGACAGCACAACTGAGGTGACAAATTGCAGCTTAGCACTTACCCTTCGCATACGTTGATCAGGAGCTCAGAAGCTCCAGTACATGAGCTGAAAGGGTGTGCATCTGCCCATGATCGTTGCTGTTCGTACACCAGCTTTTCAAGAGCATTTTTCTCGGGGCCTAAGAATACATCACCTCTGTAGTGACAGTGCTTCACAGCTGATAGAACAGCCGCCACTGTCATGCAGCAGTTGTAGCGGCAGCGGTAGTACAGCGCACCATGACAGTCATTGGCCGTCGCAATTGGTAATTCGTAGCAACAATACTCGCAACAGTACTTGTTCGTGCATTGGTCACAGGAATAGGCGAGCTCATTAGCGCAGAAGCAGCAGCAGGTGTCGTCGTTGTCGTCTCTGTCTCATTCGTCGCCGTGAGTAGTCGTCGTCGCAATAGCAGAACCAGCAGCCAGCAGGACTGGTCGTCGTCACCGTAGTAGCACGACAGCGTACAAGCGGAGCGTGGCATTGCTCGGATTTGTGTGCTGATTGATTGGGGCTGAGAGTAAACGGTGCCGTGCTTCACATATCTTCACGTCTTCTAGTCTGACATGTTGCACTATGGGCTCTTTGGAGACGCAAGGCCAGCCACAGCTGAATCGGGTGGCAAGCAGCGTTGGGTGGGTTCTTGCCATCCTGTAATGGTTTCGAGGGTCGCGAACCGACTGTGCTGGTCAGGCTGGTTGGATGGGCATGCTCATACTCGTTGTTAGTACACGTGCTCCAGAGCTTCGATGCCAGCAGCCCTCCCACGTCCAAGGACATCCGTCAAGTCGGCCATTCAGGCATCAAGTACCACACGAATCGACAAAAACAGCACTTGCTTCTATCCACCCACACTTGCCCCTCAAGCAATATATGCAAGGTGCTAGGGTGCCGTGTAGATCCGTGTAGATTCACCGTACGAACAACTCCAGGATAGGGCAGCGGGTAGCAGGTAGCATTTTATAGGCAACATTTTGCAACAGGCCTCGTTGTCCAGCAGCCCGGTCTAGCCAAACACACACTCTCATCCGCTGACTCGGTTAATTTAATGCAATATCCTGGTGGTCCGGACAAACTGATCGAGGTCATGTCTGATCACGGCAGGCTGCCATTTGCAAGACACGCTGCGCAACTGGCAACCGGTTTTCTTGGAGATGTACAAAACCCACTGCTGCCCGCGCCTCTGCGGTCCTCACCCCAGCCCCGAGCCCCAGCTGCTCGTATTTCAAGATCTCCCTCCTTGTCGGTATTGCGCCACTCCGGGCCCTGAGCATCCCTGAGCTTGAGCTCTCCGGTCTCACGACCACTAGAGCGGTCTCGCAAAGCCCGCAAAGGCAGCGCCTGCATCCGGAATCTCGAAAAACCCTGCGAGGCCGAGGCTCTCAAGCTCGAACCTTATCGACAACCCTACACCCTCTGCATTCAGCCATGGCGCCAGCTGTTCTGGGCCGAGAGATCCAGCGGCTGTCTGGACTCATCGAGTTGCCCTTTTGGGAAATCCTGCAACTTGAAACATTCGTCGCACCAGTTTTTGCAAGTATGCGGGCCCGAGCTTGCCTCCAAGGCTGCGGCCTCCTTCCACATAGCCTGGATTGGTTTATTGGCGATAGCATGACGTTTCTGAGCATGCGTTGCTTCATGGCTGGTTGTTGCTGCGTGGCATTCGCTTCTGGAAGCGGAACCACTTCGGATCGCTGACCGTGGGAGCACGGCAATGCTATCTCATCCAATTTCGCCGGTTGTCGGATTGCCTGACAAACAACTCTAACGACGGGAGCAGTACAATGAAAGGCGGCTGAACACACCCAAGACTGAGTAAGAACATGCAATACGTGCCCGCACGGTGCAGATGACTTACATGATGCCAATGGCTCCATGCAAATAGTCTCAAGAAAACAAAAGGCTGCAACCGAGCCCAAGCAACGAGTGCCGAACCGTGCAAGCTTGCAGCCTCGCAAAGCAGGATTTGGAACAAAAGCTAAGAGCATCAACGAGCCATAAAGAAGAAATTCGCAGAATCAGAAGCAATCGTCGGGTGTTTAAGATGCTGGCAGCTTTGCCCTCCAAGTCGGCCATTCGAGCATTCCACCCGTCCCGTCGAGTCAAGGTCTGCGCTGCATTGTTGATGAGGACCTAGGTCAAGACTTGCAGGAGTAGTTATTTTATGTTATTTTGTTAGAGGAAGGTGGGAAACCCAACCATTGAGCTCCGAAGTGAGTTGTGCGAGGCCCAAGCATTGGAAACCCGCCAGGTTTTCGGCAACTCGGACAATCTGCGAAGGGTTAAAATCCCTCTTCCGACGAGCAGAGCTGGGTAAAAGCTCTCTGAAATTTGCGAAGAACAGCATGTTCCTATCCATTGTGGGGTCAAAGGCAAATGTGCAGAAATACACGGGCGCCGCGAGGCACAGTTTGTCACTCATGCCAGAAAATCGTGGCAACTCTTGAGGTTTTTGCAACCAGGCCGATAGGTGCAGCCAAAGAGTTGCAACCTTTTCTGACAACAGGAACAGGCAGCGGCTTTTTCTCCAAGCTTAAGAAAGCTGCGTTACACAGTGGTTTCTGTACAAATTCTACAAGGTGCAGCCTAGCTCAAGCCCGCGGGTGTAAATTGGGATTAGGGCATCCTACGTGATTTCTCACACCCCCTCCAATCGCGAGGGTTTGAACTCGGGAGGAATTCTTTCCACAGCGTTCACTGGTTTGCGCGACCATCGCGGAGATTCCCGCAGTCCTGGAAAACATGCGGGGTGTAGTTCGCCAACCACGAAGAAGTATAAGAACTCAGGCCGATCCTCGTGCCTCGTAAAAATAAAGATGTTGCCCCAGCAAGTGAGGCGGAGATCCGCCGTGATAATATCTGCTGGCCGCACAGAGGTCAGACACACACAGGTCATACAAAGATGTGCTGTGCGCCTCGTCGTGGGGCATAACGCACTGCTCCAAAATTCGCTTGGGGAAGTGGTGGCCATCGCGCTCCGGATTGGAGCCGTCTGCGCCTTGCGCGCAGGATGCCATCGTTGAAGTTTTGAGGCTGACGTGGTGGTGCTGCTGCCGCTGCAGCCGCGGCACCATCATCATGTGGCTCCGGCTCCGGAGGTCGGAGTCGGAGGTCTCGTGCCGCCCGCACCGTCTCACGAAAGAGGTTTTCCACAGCAGGGAAGTGTGGACTTCCTCCTCGGCTGGTGTATTCTCCTGTTCTTCTTCCTGTTCGCCCCCGGCCTTTTCCGGCTCGGAGAGCTGCTCTTCCGGTTGACGGTGTCTTTGTTCCTCCCTTCCTCGCAGCGCTTTGCTGCACCATCGCAGCGTCCGGGTCAAACTGAACCACGATCCACGCCAGGAGTCTCCCGGAGTCTCCTCCTCGGGGGGTCTGACCCTTTACTCTTAGGATCTGGTTGGCCACCGTCGTGCAGCAGGCCTGCACGGGAACACAGGTTTTCACTGAGACGGCGGGCTGTCCCGCACAAGCTTCACCGAGTGAGTTTCCCCGGCGGTGGCTCCCGCGATGGAGCTTGGACCCGCCATAGCCACGGTTGTGCAACTTCGTTTCCGCTTTTGGGTGGTTGGTCAGAAGATTGGCTGGGCTCTCCGCGCCTTCACCTTTCTGCTTAGCATGGCCTTGCCCGTGGACGTAGAACTCGCAAACGTCCAGGTGTCGTAGCTTGATCCCCCGCGGCACACCCGGCCCCCCAAAACCACCGGGTTTCGACGCATCCGCCCCAGTCAGACGTTGGCGTTGCCATGTGCTGCGCCAGCTCTTTGACCGCAGACTGGATATCCCGGCGGTCTGCTGAGAGATAAGCCCCTGACCCGACAGCCGACCCGACCGGAACTTCGCGGACTCACCCGCATCAAAAGGCGTGCGGCGTGGTGTCGCTTAAGGCCGGCTTCCGGGAAGGCACCGGCGACTTGTCGCCAGCTTCAGGCCAAGGGCTCGGTACTCCAACCTTGCTGTGCGGCGCCCAGAGAGATTTCCATCGAGTCGCAGCAGCCTGTCCACAAACTGGTTTCGGAGCTTCTCCTGTTCATACGGCGCATGCGGCGGTTGTTCCCGCACCCACTCCTCGATAGGTTTGCACTCGGGAGGTGGCCACACACACACCCACTTGTCTCGGTCTGGGCCCTTCTGTCTTAAAATGAGGAAGGCCGCGACGATATCGAAGGTGTGCATGGCACAGCCTCGCTGGAAAGTCAGATAACACTTACACACCAAGCATGCAGACACTCCCTTTTTCAATGGACCGCACACACGATCCACCACCCCAGGCCTGCTGCAGCTGCAGCTGACCATGGGGGATGGGGGGAGTCACACACCCTAGAAACACACAACCCTCAGTCGGCCACATGGGGCCACAGTGTGCCCTCACCGGGCAGTTATCAAGGGCGGGCGGGTGGGCTGTCGAACACGGTGAGCCCACTGCGACACGACAAGCGCTGATACGAGCTGCTCACAAGCTGCACACCGCACTGAGATGCATGCTGTGGGTGTGTGAAGTGTTCGGTGCATGCACGGTGCGCGCAGGCATTCCTGGGGGCGAACATGCGCAGGTCCTGCTTCTGTTCCTCAGCAAACCCAGCTCCAGTGGATGCAGCCCGGAGCTCCCCACCACAGGGTGGAAAGCAGAAGGCCGGCAAAGCAGCGAAAGTCTTGAACAACACAGAGGCCTGACAGACCCCGCTGTGGCGCAGCAGCACCTGGCACGGTCATGGAGTACCTCGACTCGGTGCCCGACCCGGAGCGCGTGCGACAATCACGGAAGAGCAGCTTTTAGAAAACTGTGGCGGCTCAATGCCTTCACGCCTGTGCTGCGCTGGGAGAAGCCGAAGGATGCCCAGACCTTCCCAGGTAGGGATCTAGTTTGGCTGCAGGCCATCACTTCCCAGCTGGTAGCCCCCTTCGAAGAGCGGCTGGTGCTGCAGCGGTGGCTCCCCTTCCTCCGGGGCGCCTCTCGGTGCTGCCAGCTTCAGAAAAGCGTAAGCACCCCTCGTACTTCATCTTGCCCATGCGTGAGGAACCCTGTCACCTTATGGCTTCTCTGATGTCCCCCAGCACTGCTTCAGGACGGTTGCTTGGCGCCGTCGGTCTGGCAGGCGCTTCCTCGGCTCTTTCCTGCAGTGCTGCCATGTCCGCCGCATGCGCATAGTTCAGCACCCCCACTTCGTCGAGAGTGTTGACAGCTTCGTCAAGGACTGCATTCACTGCTGTCCCCCAGCTGTTGGCGTACCAGTCCAGGTCACAGCTGCTGGTGGAGGCCATGGCATTCAGCACGGCGAAGCGAGCTTGTGCTAGTCCCCCCCGTGCCTATGAGGATCTGCGGTCTCCTTGGTGCCTGGTGGCTTGCTTAAGCCTGGCTTCCCCCTCCTGCTTTTCTGAGCCGGTTCGTCGTGCGTCGTCTTTTCGGCCTCCCTCACATACTAGTTAGATGGCTCCCCCGTGTCGTATTTTCGGTGGCAGGTGCTCGACACATTCTGCCATGGTTTCCTATATTAAGGTCCTATATACGCGGTGGGGGCCTGGCTGCTGCGGCGCAGTTGTCGCCGCGCTCTGGCGTAGCTGCGGGCCTGTTGTTGGTAGGTGGGTGCACTGTTGGATTCCTGCCCACACTCCATACGTGTAGGATGCTGCCAGCATGTGCAGGTAAACGCCTGCCGCTATGCGGAAGCAGGATGACATGTTGGGCGTGGGGGAAGCCGGCTGCACACTTGAGCCAAAATTGCTGGTCTCTCTCGCTCTCTCTCTCTCTCTCTCTCTCTCTCTCTCTGAGTCTCTTTGAGGTGAGAGTCCCCGGGAGCGTCCTGCCCTGAACCTCGCGCGCGTGCGCGCACCCGCAGTCCGTGGGTGTCTTTCCATCCTTTCAGGATTTTTCCCTGGAGGGCTCGGCGGTACGCGAACGAAGCGATGGCCAACTCCCCCGGACACCAATCTAGCAAGGCTAAGTGTGGGCTTTCATCTCTCTCTCTCTCTCTCTTGCTTTCACGTCCGAGCCATAGACAGTACACAGTGAAAACGCACGAGCACAAAGGAACGGACGAATACGATGTTGCATCTCTTCGGGGCCCCCACGTGGATGCGTGGGAAGCGGCGCAGGAGCTGCTGGCAGAATCGCTCGACGAGCCGCAGATCGCAGAGTTCCAGGGGCCCACAGACCTCAGACTTCGCCGACTTCCCCCATGTCTTTGCGCATCAGACAGAGCGTAACTGTGCGATGAGGCCGCCTCCAAGCGCTCCCGCCATTCGTGATAGTCTGGCTCCTTGGAGTAGCGCAAAGCGCCTCGGCAGAGGATGTCATCCGATTGATCTACTTCCCGGTGAACCGGTGGCAACACGCCCAACCAAATGCGGGACAGAGTCACAATCGCATGGAAATCGAGAGGTGGTAAGCACAAATGCACCCGCACGTAAGAGCTTCAAGACCTTCAGAAGTTCTCAAGAATTGTGTCTGCAAGCAATCGGCTCCCCTGCTAAGTCCAGGGATCGAATTGAAACTGTTGAACACCTGCATGTGACGGCATTGCAAAGTGCCAGGCTATTTGAAAGCCGATGCGCACACGTCCACCTGTGACCACCTCAGCCCCACTTCGTGGCCGCAATTATGTGACCCAAAATGTTGCAGTGCCACTGTGCCATGGCTAGAATCATTACTGATCTACCTAATCCTCCTCCCTGCGTCCCGAAAGTCCAGTGACACCCGTTTTTGGTCCACAATTTCGGTCCCCCGCCCCGGAACCCCCCCCTCCCACACATATTCCCGACAGCTTTCTGCCCCCCGCCTCTCTTCCCCTCCTCCCGAGCTTCGGAGAAAGCCCAGATTTCGGTCCCTCTTGCAACGCAGTCCGTCACAGTTCCATCCCGATGCCCCCGCCTTTGCTCCATACGCTACTTGTAGCATCGGTCGCGACCATAAGACTTCGATCGGGTGCCGGTCGAACCGAGGCTGCCGCTTTTGCCGCGCGTACCCATGTTCTGCGATCTTGGCAGGCCCAGACGCCAGTAGGAGATGCGATTTTGCGCCAAATCCACACCGGTCATGCAGTGTCGAGATTCCGTAGGGGTGCTGATCACGTGGTCAGTTCGAGTGACCTGTCGTAGTCTGCTGACTGATTCTCGGCTCTACCCCGGATTGACGTGGGAAGTTCTGCCTGCTTTCCGTAAGAACAAACGAACGTGGACGGCACTGTGCATCCTCGGCGTGAGCCACCCTTTCACATGCACTGGCGGAATATGCCGTCGGCTGTTGCTCCTTGCTTACGACACTCCTCCACGGGTCCAGCATGCAGTCTTGGAAACCGCGAAGCAAGTAAGCTTAAATCTGGGGATCGGGCACAAATCATACCGCGCATGTCAGCCATTTGCTGGCGCTTTTGCCAGTTATGCTCGGCACACCGAGGACATAGCTGATGATAAAAGTGATGGTGCTCCAAATACTGACCTGGCAGGGGCGAGGCTGCTGTCCGCTTCAAATCCCCTTTCCATGGCCCTCGAGCACTCAAAACATGTGCAGCTCAGGGGCCTCTGCACATGTTGCAGTTGGAATAAAGGCTATCTGCTGGCACGTTCAGCAGTCCTTATCTAGACATCAGCTGTTCGGCATTGTTCCTCGGTCTCCTCTCTCAACTGCCCTTTGCATCTCTAGATAAGTAGAGCAGGAAGGACGTCGATCCATTGGTTGTTCTTTGTTCGTTAAATTCCATACATCCGTGCATCCATGCATCCTTTCCGTGAGTCATCCACCCTACACGGATTTCTTGTAGATAGATAGGCAGGTGTGTATGTGCATATATGCATACAAACACATTCTGAGTTGTTTATAGGTAGCCCATGCAGCACATCTGGAGATCACTGCTGCAGAGGATCTGTGCACCTCTTCCTGAACGAGTCCGGCTTCGGCCGCGGCATCTTGGTCGAGAACGTCTTCTCCGTCGAGCTTGGGTGGCCCAGCAGCTTGTTCTTCGGCCGTACAGCCTTCGCACGCCGTGAAACTCTGGTAAAGCTCATTCCACTAAAGTCAGCCTCTTTCAGGATTGGGCCTGGGGCTCGATCCTTTTTGAGGGATCCGGCGTTGTCAAGGTTCCGTATGAAGACAGAAAATGAGAAAATGAAACGCTTGCTTTCGGGAAGCCATCGGCAATGGCAAGGGAGTCCGCCAAGGCACTTTCGGCCTTTATCGCTGCCAGATCTGCTTTCCTTCGCAGGTTCATCCCACATGTCTCTGCCTGCAAGCCGAAGGTTGCTTTGATCCGACAACTAAGGGTCTTTGTGAGCACGCCTTGCCGGGCAAAGTCTAGTGTTGTGCAAGCAAAACCGATCATTGTAATTTGTTATGCACTACACAGCTATGTGATCGCAACCTGCCTTAACAACGGAAGCCTGGCCGAAACCTAGTTTCAGCTACACATCACAGGAGGCGGTCGACACGTGATTCTCAAGCACCGTCGCCGTAACCATCACCGACCTGTACCGCCATCCCTTTCGAAAATCGTATGCTAGACAATTTACCCAGTGCATGAAGACACACCATGCCTTTCAAACTAGGGTACCGAAATGCCACAATTTGCAATGTTGCCCATCATCCGCCAAGTCTATTCACCATGGCAAGCCTTTTGCCGCCGTTTGTCATGCTCGTCTTTGACCACTCTGTGCAAGCGCTCGAGCTTCACTGTCCTTAGGTTTCGACGACCGAATACACGGTTGAAAACCATATACGCCCGCCGAGTCTCGTAGCAAGGCAAGGATTATTATACATTTATGTGTACCTATGTATACGTGTTAATCCGCCCCCTGCACCCTCCTACTCATTACCCAACTGTCGTGGTATTGAGCCACTTCGCCCTGCCTTTCGAGTCACTTCGTACCTCTGCTGCCGACTCGGCACCAGACCGTCCAGAGCTAGGGGTTTACGCACAGCAGAATTGGTAACTTGTGCGCCCGAAGAATCGTAGAGTCCTAGAGTCCTAACAAGTCCCAGCGCTCTGGGCTCCCCGAGCCGAGTCCGCGTGCTCTCCGACGATTCCAAAGCCATGAGATATCCCAATGTTTTGCTGCCATGCGAGCCTAAAATTCGTGGAGGTAGCAATAAGCGCAAAAGCTTCAGCCGCTCAGGATCTTGAAATCCCAGACTGCCCTAAAAGGCTGAAATGTATTTTGACGAGCCGAAGATTGGAAGCACCGGATATGATTCGCAGGATTTGACCATCTGAGTCATGTTAGCAGCTTTATTTTAATTTTGTAGCGTATTACAGCAGGATTGACAAAGAATGCTACCTGTACGAGTGTTGGCAATATGCGCGGTACTAATGGCTTCCCCATTATTGTCTTCTTGGACGTTGACAGCCGTAGCAGCTTGGTTCGATACATTGTCCATAATGTCACCGCATAAACAATGTCAAGTCTCATCTGGTACACATCCTCAGATAGCTTCGGATTCTGTTGACCATCGCAAGTTCACACAAAATCTATGCAGAAAACCTAGCAGAATTCTGCATGAGTTACCCGTCAAGGGACAGATTTCTGCCTGAGGAAGTCCAGTACTTCCTCCGATCCAAACTTCTCCTTAAGGACGAGCCTCCGGAACCTTGCGACCAGGACGCCGCTTCCGCTCTTGCGCAGAGAAGACAGGGCAGCAGAAAGAGAGAGATAGAGAGAGAGAGAGAGGAGTGAGCTGCAGTCATGCTTGGCTTCTGATGGCTGAGTGTTGAGCAATGGCAGTCCAGCCTTGCAATGCCACAGCCACCCACATCACCACAAAAGCACAACCAACTCAGGTATTATGTCCAACCTGTTTCATTCCGACTTTCAAGCTGACGGACAAATTGCAGTTTCAATATCTTGCGGAGGGGGGTAAGTGGCTTCAGTAAGGATGACATCGTCTCCAAAAACAGTCGTTGACGGTAAAGGTCGAGTTCGATGACAAAAGCTTCACTGAGCCACACCAGCACCCAGTCACTCAGTAGGATGCCCTAGTTTGTGTCACGTTCCACAGGAGCTGCCGCGCTCGGTCTTGCTACTTCACGCCAATTCCCACTGCTCTAGAATTTCAGCCAGCCCAGGAAACGCCTGTGGCTCTTTCTGATATCCACTCCCCGCTATAAGACCGCAAGCCCAAGCCCCAACAGCCGGAGACGAATCTCAGATGTTCGTGTTCGTAACTGTTGCTGCGTAGGAAGCTGTGAGGATGGCAAAGCTGTATACATGTGCATAAGTTCTGCGTGCCTGCCGGACGCTGTCGAGTTCTGGGCGTGCCAAATCCTGAGCAAAGCCATATCCAAGCCAGCTCTGAAAGACGCTCAAAGAGCCTCGAGCTGGAACATACCGGTTTCAAAGCTTAGCAGCGAAAAACAAGGCCGACACTAAACGCTCCAATTCTCCACGCAATCTGCAACCCAAAGTATGCCCAGGCTCGGAAGGTGAGATTCGCCGCAGAATGGAGGCACACCTGCGATCTCCCAAGTCCCTGCCAGATTTGTACTGGACAGCAGGATCCCGGGGCCTTTCGATTTCCTCTGGAGATGGACCATCATCTGCAGCTTGCCAGTCGAAGTCATCCATTCTTAAAGTCTTGCTGAGTAATGAATGTCTTGACACATATCCCTTCCGGTTTCGTCTACACAGTTCATGCCAGGCACTTCCTTCGATCTGTTTTCGTGCTATTTTGTGTGCAGTACAGCTCAAACAGACAGCGGGACTGTTCTTCCAGGCCGCAGCCCAAACTCTTGGTTCTGCCTCGCATCGTAGCATGCCTACAGCATTCGCTAGCATCTGCTTCGAACAGGGATGGACAGCGCAACTTCAGCTGCAAGCTGCTCACATCATCTGCGCGGCTTTCTGCGTTGCAGCTTTCTCACAGCAGTGCGTCGTGCACACCCTTCACTAGTTCGTCGAGGATCGGGTAGGTCCTCGCAATGAGACGTGGCTTTTCTGTGGGAGTCCACTTCGAGCATCTCCGCAGCGGGCCGCGCAGCCCGCGGCACTCCTGTGAGAGACGAGCTGCGTGAGGAAGCAGGCGGCCAACTCCTCTTTGGGATTCACGAAGAAATAGGTCGAAGCCTCAGACGTGCAGCCCTGATGTGGTGCGCCACTCCGTGATGCTTGGCAAAAGCCAACATCTCCACGAAGCCCCAACTTGCCCGCAATACGGGAAGAGTTTGTAATTGGCAACTGTACGACACTCAGGTGCCGTTGCCGGGGAGTGTCCTACAGTGATAGATGTCCACTGCTTGCCGCTGCGTTTCAATCGTACACAACGGCACTTCTGGAGAAAGATTCCCGAACGAGGTGCAAAAACACGCCGGCAGCTCAGGCGAAAGTGCCGAGTGAAGTCTTGACTGACAGCATGCGTAAACCTGAATGTGCAAACGACTCCTCCGATGTCACACGTGCTCGAAGGACTATGCAAGCACAGGGGGGCTTCTTGATTTTGCTTCGACGATGGAGTGGCATGCCACGGCTTTATGTACACCCAGTGAACGCAAGTAAAAGAATGGTTGTACGCTTTGAGAGGCCCCCTTCGAGGACAGTATTGACTTGTTCTGACGGGGCGCTGGATGCAACGGCAAGAGATGGCAAGAGCATGCAAGAGCAATGCGTGACTGTCAGACGACCTCGCACCATCCTGACGGGTCTACACAGCTCAGGTCGAAGCAAAACCCATCCAATGCCATGTCCCCGCAGCTCGTGGTGGCAAAGCGACCTGGGGAGTCGACTTACGTGCAGTCGTCAAACCTTTGGGAAAATCTGCTTGCGGAAGTGATAGCTCTGCGCAATTGATGGAGCAACGGCAATTGTCCTGCGAGGACGACAGCGACAATGACCATGACGATGAAGATGACGAGGGCAACGAGAAGGATGCTGATGCTGTGACTCATGCAGCAGATTTGACATACGTCGCCCCAGCATGTGGACGCTGGTTTGGACTCTCATGTTGTCAGCGTGTCCCCTGTCATAGGCGGATCGGGCAACCCCCAACCAAACGAACCACTCAAATGTCCCAATGACATCCTGCTACGAGGGAACCTCCGCTCGAGACTGTTGTGAGAATATGGTCTGAGCTGCAGCTGCGCGACACACATAAGTCGAACCACAGATACAACGAAAATCAACGAGCCGAGGGTCCATATTCAAATCTACCATTGGCGAGATCCGCGGACCGAGCTTTCAATGCGGGCCGCATACCTCCCGTTCACACCCTGAGCACCACGTACCGGGAATTGATTATGGATTTTCGATTGACAGCGCTGGCCGAGGACCCTCGAGGCCCAAGTACCGAGCCACCCTGAACATGAGATGCGGAGCGGTAGTTTTCGCCCAGCCGTTGGCCGAAAAACTAAACCACTCGAGATCCAGTGCCGAGCATTCTGCGTAGAAGCACTTACTCGCCGAGTACACCCGAGATGCACATGCCGAGCGTTGACTTTCGAAGCCCACTGCTGGCCGAAAAATCGAAACCGCCAGTGTTGACCCTCAACCGATTGATGTTTAGACGCATGTCAGGTCCGGCTGTTAAATGCTTATCAACTAAGTGTCGACACTGATCCACATGTGTATATCCTCACTGCGACGCGAGTTAACCCTCCAGGGCACGATTGCATGCGGAAAATGCCGGGATGTCGAAACTGCCACGACACTCCATCCCCCAAGAACACAACTTAAATCCACGACAGGTCCCTCCAATAGGAAACAAGCCCCCAGTCGAACCTCTGTCTGCATGTTCCGAGAATGAGACATCCTGCTCCTTGCTTTTCGTGGGGAGAACGCGGGGCACGCGCACGTGTGCCGGTAGATATTACTAGATGAAGGCTACTTGGTGCCATTGTCATGTCAACACGGACACACTCACGCGCGCGCGCGCGCGCGCGCGGCTTCTCTTGCGCTTTGTTCCTTCCATGCCCTATGATCACAGGTGACTTGAGCGAGTCAATCGGCCGGTGCCGATCTGCGATGGCAATCGCTGGGCTAAGACTTGTATGTTAAAACCCAGCGAAGCCTTCCATCAGCCGTATTCAGCCCTACCAGATATGAAATACGAAAAACCATCTCATGTCAATAAACATCTTAGATTCGGACTTTCTTCGGCTCGCAGATCACGGACCTGAGTTAGTTGAACGTGTCGATTGCCCCCACGGCTGCTCGCAAAATCCGAGCAAGATGCGCTCCGAGCGAGAATCTCTGTCCGGGAAAACTGTTGAAAGGTCGAAGCAGCTTCTGCCTGACGAGACCAAGAGCCACGACTGAGGCGAAGCTCACTCGCGGTGCGGTGGCACAGCCTCGGCAGCCGATCGCCACGAACAGGAAACAACCTCCGTAACGAGCGGAAAGCTGGCAGACGGGTCTGCAGTACCCTAGGCCGCCTTCCCACACTGACAGAATCCAGCGCAAACGGTGCCTTGGAACTGGGCAGTGCAGGGTTCATTCGGCTCCTTCCGTCTGGCACCTGGAGCTCCTCCGTCACGGGAGAAGCCAAGGCTTCCAAGACGAACCTGACAACATCTGACAACTCTCGACATTCTCGACAACCGGCCGCCAGGGCAAACAAGCAGAGCGCGAAAGCTAGCAGGTTCAGGTGGGGGCGGGCTGAGCACGGGCTCCTGAGAAGCCTTAAGTTCCCAGAGAACTTGAACGGAAGGAGCAACAAGTACATCAGAGTCAGGACCGGGCATCTCTGGTCAGAACCTCCAAGAAACGCACCTGCAGCGAAAAGAGCATCGAGTGCACAGAAGCACGTGGGCTTCAGTGTCATAAGCTATAAGCTCGCAGCAAAGTCAGAGCCCGTCCCTGCCAGAGCATGGCTAGGGTATACACGGCCTTTCTCTGCGACTGGTGTACAGTATGTTAAGCACGGCAATTACACCAACAAGCCCTGCATCGGGATGGTACAGCTTCGAAGACCTGGAGGCTGGAGGCTCCGAGAGCATCCAGACACTCGTATGCACTCGCAGGAACAAGCCTATTCCACAGCTTCATCGGGGATATCACTCCGGTCCCAGCTGGTTTCAAATCATCGATGAATGCACAACCACACCTGCAGCACAAGCAAGATCAACTTCTGCGAGTAGCTTTTTGCACCTCTCCTTTAGTCTCCGAGTGCCGAACAACCTTGCGTAAATGGAGCGGCACCGAAGCCTGGCATGCCCCACTGGCCACCGGAACATGCCCATGCCCCGTGCGAGGTGGAGGATCGACGAGAAAGCGCCTCCAGCGGTCCCAGTATCCAAAAAGACCGTCAGCCACAGCTGGAAGAACCCAGGGATGGTAGTCTGGGATGCTAAGCACGACCACTGCAGGAATCAACAAACACAAGCACTACGGATCTGTCAGGGTGGTGTCCGTCCTGTTGAAACACAGTCTGCTGCCAGCGACTCGTCAATGAAGAACCCGGTGTCCGTCATTCCAGCAGGCTCGCAGATATGCTTCTGCATGTACCTGCAGATCCCACTCGGCTCCGGGAGAGGCTCGGCATTTCCAGGCAGGCCCGGCACTCTGCAATGGTGAGACCAGAAACTTCCTCCACCATTCTTGCAACCAGCCGGCTGCCCACGCCACCTGGATCTGCCAGCTCATGATTCCGTCTTTCCAACTTATGCTGAATTGTCGGCATGTCTGGAAAACTGAGCCGCACACAATAGTTGAAGTGCTGCCCGGGGGCGAATATGTGTGGCTCGCAACCTTATCAAAATCTCCACGTTCTCCCCAAGATGTGCAATATATCTGCAAGGCCGGATCCGACTCTGTCCGAATGCAAAGTGTACTTGCATTGAGTTTGACGAAACTCCTGCAATCAGGACCCCAGCACAACCTTCTCATGTGGACTTTCAACCCTTCAGCTGCGGATTCTCGGGCAACGTTTCTATACACTTTGAACGTGTGAATCTTGACCTGCCGGCCATGGCTCTTCCACAAGAGTTTCTCTTGTCGATTGACCACGATGGCGGTTACATCTTCGGAGATTCCAGCGGGCCTGCTTCACTTGCTCCTAGCTTCGAAACCCTGCTGTGTGCTTGGCGGTGGGCAGCTCACCCTTTCCCTTAAAGTAAAGTTTCGGGTCGCCGCAACCCCCGTCTTCCAGTATGAATCAACGTGTTCACCTTCACCTCACGCAATTCAGCTTGGACTCCAGCTCTCGCGCTCCACCTTCAATTTCGCGGCAGGTCATCGTACAGGAGCAGGCGCCAAGAAATGGCAGTGTTGCGCACTGGGCACCCTGTGCACTGGGTATCCAGCCAGCTCTTTCAAGTTAAAAGGCGGCTTCGCTGCTTCACCTTGGCCACTCACACGATCTCGCACGATCTTCTTTGCCAACCGTCAGTCCGCACACCCCGCTAGCCTCTGCAAGTGCTCCAAGTTAGGGTTCACAATGGCAAGTAAGTGGTTAGTCAGTGGTTAGTACATAAAGCCGAGCGCAGGATTCAAGACGTCCATCGGGATCAACAGAGAATAATCAAAGAGAGGTTTCAGGCGCATAATAGCGATTCTTTCCGGAATTGCTTGTTTACCACAAGAAGCAGTTGGCCGGATAGGCAGAACTATGTAGTCCTGCGCTCGGCACGGGTTTTGTTTGATAATTATTTGCCGAGTCGTAGGTCAGTTGCTTGTTGGCTTTCAGGTTTGAGTGCGGAAGTCGCTGCCCGAGTTGTGCACCAACCGCCCAAGAAAATCTTAAATATTGGGCCGATTTCGGCCGTATTTAAGAGGGGATCACCAGGTACTTTCGCAGGGGTTTTAATGAAGAAACAGCAGGACACGCTATTGAGGAGCAGAACCTGCGCGAAGCCTCTAAGAAGCTCCAAGCAAGCTGGGAAACACAACAAAATCAAGATTTGTAGACAGTCGGAAGACGTGGGCATCTTGAATCCCGCGCCCGTGTCAATCTATACGAGTACAGTAGCTAGTTTGGACTCGGACATTGCAGAGCAACTTGTTCACTGCATCCCACTTCACACTTACTCGTTGTACCGCCCACCGCCTCCTTCCGGGCGGCCAACTTCGTGAAACTGGTTAAATTGGTTAAGGAGTTTCCGACATCGTACATTCTAAATCGTACCACACATGTAAATATCTTTCTGCAGGTGTAGAGGTAACGCGTGCCCCCACTTCCCCCAAACCCCACTGAGCCAGCCAGCCAGCCACCCAGCCACCCAGCTCCAGCCAGTCAGCCAGCCACCCAATCAACAGCGAGTGCAAACATATCGACTCGCTCCCCTCACTCCCTCTGCCACAATCCTTCTCAATACTTGGGCAGCGTTGCAGCAGAAGTTCGATATCTACTCAAAGCTCAGCTGTGGATGCACACAGTGTGAAGACCAAGGCTTAAGCTCTGGCGCTTCCGAAGTCTGCGGAGCTCAGCAGGACGCAACCTTTTGTTGGTCTTAGCACGGACGAGGCGTGGATTCTGCGCTTTCTTGCAAAAGGCAAAATGACAAAAGATATCAAAAGATTGGAAGAGCGCGAGTGCACAGGGTGGACTGTCGGCAAAGCATTCGAGAAGCCGCCGGTGTGCGTGAAGCAATGCCTGCGGCATCAATGGATGCACATGTTGACCACAAGGTGGCTCATGCTTCTGCAGCCTAAGTCGAAGTGGTTCAGCACTGGCACCTGCCACACACCAGTACTGCCATAAACCCGCCAAGCGAAACCAAGCCTGGCATGTCCCCAGGCAGATCTTCTGGCCACTCAGGGACGAGAGAACTGATCTTGGATCGCAACTGATCGCCAGAAATGGTATTGCTGGTACATGGACAAGTCATGTGCAGTTTGCTCAGGGCCAGGCGGGGGTCTCAGGAGAGATGCCGTGCTCCTGCTCCGACCCACATCTCATCGGCAGGCAACAGCATGTAGAAGCGCATTCCCGCAAGTTTCCCACTGAAGCAAGACAAAAAAAAAAAAAAACTTGTTTAGTAAAGTGTGAGTATAAGTTTGGGCAGTGGCGTGTTTGAAGCAGGCTGCACGCAGCGATGCATTAGAGTCTGACGACGCAAGCCCTCAATCCATCGATGGTTCTTTGAAAATAGGCTGGCTGGATCTGGCTGGCACAGGGACGGTCATCCTGATGACGGGCTGCGTGCACCATCAACATGCTATGTGATCCCGCTTCCTACAGTCCCACAGTCCTACAGCAAAAACACTGCGCGACTTTTTCAGGCTGAGGTAGATTCTCTGAGCTTTTGCCAGGTCCCATAGGGGATAAAGCGGCTCGATTCCCGCTAGAGGTTCAAGGCCGGTGTTGCGCCTGGATCGGCTCCGTTCAAGGCCTTTCTGTACACTGCGTCCTGAGCATCCAACACCTGGAGCTCCATAGTGATCAAAGCCTCGCAGAGGCTTTTGCCGTTGCCGATCTCATCCGCACATCCGCAAATGCTCGCTGACTAAGCGTATGGCACTGATGTGGGACAGGTCGGCTTCTCCTGACCGTGTAGTTTCTTCCACGAGGGGCACGGCCCGGCCTTCACTGCAAAGCCCTATCAACTTTCAAGAGCACTGTGCCGGATGCCGGCCCTGCCTAGAAGGCTTCTGGCCAGCTCCCTGCGCCGTGCTGCGCTCCGCTGCCGAGCCTCATCTCCCTGAGCCATGCCTCAAGCACAGCAGGTAGAGGAGGCAGAGGGAAGCCCCTTTGCAGCCTTTGCATCACGTGCCGGCGGCACGAATGGTATCAGCACAGCGGAGGGTGTTGCAAGATAAAACGTGCATGAAAGCACCACGACATACGGGGGGTATGCTTCCGCAGGAATCGACAGACCGGCCACGGCTGCTTGTGTTGGAAAGATTATTGTGTACCTAATTTTAACAGCACCTCAAGGAAGTGATGTGGTTGGGGACAGTGCGTGCACGAACCTTCAAACTTCAAATCCCTGATAAGCTTTTGAGCGGTGCGGGGTATCGGTTTTATTTGTCGTACATCTTGAAAACAGAAACGATGGATGATAAGTTTTTAGAAATTTGTAAGAAAATGATGATGGCCAAACCTCCGCCCTCAACCTGAACCCCCTAAACAAAGACGATGCACGGAACAGCCAGCACCCTGAAGGGAGCGACACAAAAGCGTTGACTGGGTCCCAAAACCCAGCCAACATCCGCAAAAATCCCAAACACGTGGGGCCGCGAGCGACTAGACATGGGCCACGGCCACGGGGTCGTTGAGAAACATACACAGGGCCAAACGACAAACAGTAATCGATGATGCGCAACCATTTCTCGCAACATTCGCTAAGGTAAGCAGTCAGGATAGTGCCAAGATCCACCATCCCGATGCTCATGAACTGTAATATGTCCTCGCGTTGCTTGTAGAAATCTTGATGTGGCGAAGGGGGTGGGTGTGGCTGACAGGGCAAGCAGAATGCCCGAAAGTGGAAGTTCATGTCGCTGGGCAGGGCTGTCGCTGATTACTGGGTTGGATGTGTCACTTTGGCGTATCCGTTGGTGCTGGCATGCAGCATGCAGGGTAACTGTAAACGCGTCCTTCGTGCATGGGCTTGAGCTTGCAAGCACGGCGGGTGTGATTGCTGAGCGTGTGAGTGTGAGTGCAAGTTTGTTCGGAGTGTGAAGAAACGAGACGCTGCTGCTGCCAAGCTTCTGCAACGCAGAAGAACTTGTGCCATTCTTTCGAAAACCACTCCAGCATTGCCATCTTTGTCAAGGCCTCTATAGACCATATTCTTGACAGCTATCTCCTTGGGAAGTCACACTTGCCTATGACTGGAAGGATAGGAAAAGTAGTGACTTGGAGTCAGCTGTGCTTCCATCGGGGCTTCGAGGCGTACAAGCTCCAAAGGATCAACGCCGCCTCGGTCCTCAGAGCCACGTGGGAGTTTGCCGAGGCGAGGGAAGAGAAAGCGCACCAGGTCCGGCACTACAAATTCTTCGAGAGCGAGCCCCAAAAGCTCGAAAACGGGCGTGGGATGGATTGCATCCTTCCTCAGCCGACAGCTTCGTGTTCACCATGCCTCATTCTCCATAGCGCAAGTGAGTCGCTGAGCGTGGTTGAGGAAGGTTTCCTCTTGGGGAGAAATGTCTCTCCCTGTCTAGACATGCTGGATATGGCAGCACAGTCCTCCAATCTATCAAATGCTTCAGCATATCGACCGGCATGGAGCAGCGCCTCCAGTTTCCAGTGCGATACATGGCTCAATGCTGGTCAGAACCAGGCCATGCTCTGACTCCGGCAATGCACAAAGCCAATGGCACAAGCCTTGGTCAAGCCCTCACAAGCGCTGCCATACAGTGGGCCTCGGTTTGAAGATGCTATTCAGCCTCTCAAATAACTGCAGTCCCCGTCACTTCTGCGACAAAGATGCTGTCTGCTCCAATGCTGCGTCCAAACAGCAGGCGAGCTGAGGCAAACTGCTCAACTGCTTCTTCATGGCGGCCCATCAAATCAAAACCTGGTGCTATGACACCGCTCCGCGAACTGTTCTGCTTGCAGACTTGGAAGCAACTGTGCTAGAAGATTCTGTCCACAACATGTGTCGAGGCAGTTGGCAGCTGCCCACGGTGTCATGCAGCTTTGCGATGGTCACATCGTCATCAGGTTCCTCCGTTTTCCAACCTTCCAACGCCTGCTTCAATCAGATACAATCAAACGTGTGTACCGGGCTGCTGGCCTGGAATGTGTTACATTCTGAATCTGGCCTTGAGCAACATCGGCAAGGCCTCTTCGTACTGGCCCAGATGCTTTTTGGCAATGCCCATGTTCCACAGGTCGTCCTCGTATCTGGCTGAATGAGCCGCCGTTGCTTCAAAATCCGGCTTACACTAGGTCCTTGTCAGGTTCCTCATGGCCAGCAACCTGCTGGGCGGCTAGGAAATACTCTTGCGCCTTCTCATGGTCGCGCATCCTTGCAGACTTGGACCGAAAGCGAGCACCTGCACGACCGACGCTCTTGCAGCATGGCGGCATGTTGTACACAGTTCCCAGGTTGTTGAGAGTTGCCTGGGCACCCAGAAATTCACGGTTATGGCGTTCACCTCCCATCGCTCCACCTAAACTAAACTACCAGTCTCGACACGGGATGTGGTGGCGTTCGCTTCGCCACCTCTTCCAGAAGAACTGCTGCCTGAGGGGAAACACTGATTGCAAGGCTCACCGGCGTGCCAGTGAAGACCTCAAACAATGAAAGAGCACCCGATGAGCAGTCCAGATCTACAGACATGCCCGCCCCACGAGAAATGCGCACCACACTGTGGCGGGAGAAGCACCATTGACACCCTGGACCGCATGCACACACACACACACACACACGCCCACACACGAGCGCGACCTGGCGAGGCGGAAACGCGGCTGGCACCCCCAACAATTTGCACAGCACCGTGGCGAGTATCGGAGACCGGAAACGCGTGGGACTGTAGCGGCAAGACGAGTCGCACCCAAGACATGCGCCGTACTGTAGCGGGCAGCATTTCGAGACCACCCTGGCGAGCCACAAAAAGCCGAACAGTTTGGAATTCGCACGAGACTGTGGCAGGAGATTGCAGGAGCATAGCAATCCACCCCAAAACACACCGAAATTCGCGCGGGTCTGTTCGGGGCCGAGCAGAAGGAGAAGTCAAAGCTAGGCAGAGCAAAAGTGTGCAGGATGATGCTGACCACCTGAGATCCCGTGCCTCGGGCTGCCTCTGCTGCTTGCATCTCAGTGTTGCGCAATCCTGGAGCCATTTCACCTCAGGCTTGTTTCGACCGCTGACTTCGCTGAAAAAACTTATCCATGCACCGAGCGACATCCCATGGAAGCCCGCGCTCCATACAATACGGCTCTGTGGCAGCCTCGGGCCAAGGAAAGAAGCACCAGCTGCTTTCATAAAGTGCCGTCTTGCCGGGAGCAGGAACGATTGATTTTTAGCTTCGGGGGCAGTGGCACCAAGAAGCAGAGAGGGATGAATGTTAGCCTGAAGGGGGTATGGGGGGCACCGGGTGAAAGTCAGTGCAACGAGCACGAGGCACAGGAACCCATCCTGCGTAGCCGCGACAGGTTGCAGGGCGCTAGTCTTGCTACAGCTGCAGAAATCTTCAGAACATGTCCCGGCAGGCCAGGCGCATACAGAGCGTCAGCTTTGTCGACAGCATAATTTTTCAAATAAGCCTCGGCTTCGGCAAAATTCAGTACCGCTCGGTGCCAAGAGCCAGGCCTTGCGTCATCGCTGTCCATGCTATGCTGCTATGAACAGTTCAGGCTGAATCTGCAAACAAGGATCAACTGCAAGGTCTAGGGCGCCCGAAAGGACTTTCGGGTCCCTGAAGCCCTCTTCTGAAAACGCTACCTGGGTACAGTTCATGTGTTCGAGGCTGAACCGGATGAGCATGTGTCAGCCATGCGAGCTCAAGGTGGTCTTCCCATGTTTGAGGAGTGGACGCGTCTTGCATATTCGGCCTTGAAAAGCGTATGCAAAGCAGGTGCAGTTGATGCGGCAGAATATGACTGCTTCTTCCGGATGGCAGTCCAACATCCAGTTCTGAAGCATTGGCGACCACTGGTCCTGCCTCATAGCTTTGAAGAATCCGCAAGTTTTCCTGCGGACCAGACCTTGGTACAGCCCCGACTTACCACAATGATTGATTGTATGTCGCTGCAGATCCACATTGGGACCGCGGCATGTAGTCCTGAGCGGAGGGGGAGGGAAGGGAGGAAGGGAGGGAGGGAGTCGCTAATCGTCTGCCGTCCATGGTGGATATTGAAAGCGCTTCGGCAACATTGGTGGCGACATCCGCTTCTACCGGTTGTGCTCTCGGTGAGGGCGCTCAACCCCTGCAAAACAGCTTTATGTCAGGGCCTTCGGTTGTTGGGCCTTTCTCTCTGTTCTGCTCTGTTCTCCGGGGCATAGGGGACGCGTCAGGTCCCCCGCCCCCGAGCCAAGAGGCTCACCCCTGTTGAGGGGCCTTGTGGGGGCACGTGAGACGACAGTCAAAGCTCAGGGGGAAGGACCAAAAAGAGTTTAAATGGCATGGCCTCCTGCTTGCTGCAGAGCAAAGCACACACGCGCGCCTTCCTTCGAGGGGTCTCTGTCCGTCCGGCGTCCCGCGCCACAGTCGGCGTGAAACTCTCGCTCTCTGTCTCCCTCTCTGTATCTTGCTCTCTCGCTCTATCTCTCGCTCTCTCTCTCTCTCTCTCTATATATATATATATATATCGGTGTCCTTTAGATTATGTAAGTATGTATAACATAATATAGTAATAATATATATATATATGTACACACCTATTTACCTATATATCTGCCTGTCTATCTGTCCGTCTCTCCCTTTATTGTCTGTCCGTATGTGAGTTTGCGTGTGTCTGTCGGTGCCGGCGTCTGTGTCGGTGCGCACTCGCTGGGAGTTGCAGCAACTCCGGATACCTCGACGACGGATCGCTATGCGCGCGGAAGAGTTCTCTGTTCTTGTTGTCCGCCTCCCTAAACCCTAAACCCTAAACCCTAAACCGTCTCATGAGGAAACGGTCTGCCCAGCTTTGAAAATGGCAGAGCAAGCCACGAGCACCGGTTGTGAAAGGAGTCGTCTGCGCAAACAACGAAGTGTAGAAGTCCAGGCCTGAAACTTGTCCTGGCGGTCTTTCATGAGGTCGTCTGCCCTCACTGACTGGATGTACTGCCTTGGGCAAAGGACGACACAAAGCTTTAAGGCTTGAGAAGACTTGGCCGGATAGTGTTGTGGGCCCCAGAATGGTTAGGTCCCGTCAATGTATCTAAAACGGGCAGTAGTGTTCAGTGGCCTTGCATGGGAGACAGCGCAATCATGGCTGTTTCAACAATACTTT